ACTGCCCTAGTGTTTATCTATAAACTATTGCATATTTTATTATATAAATTTTATCTTTTCGGCCACATGTGGACTTAACATTCGTTTTTTATACAATGCTGGACACGAACTGTAACAAAGACATTAAAGAACAGTACACTGAATTTGAAAGCAAAATTGAAAATACAAATTTTTATATATCATCATATGGTTCACTTTCATATTAAATATTTAAAAATGATTTTTTTAATTTGTATATATATAAATTTTGAACATAAATCTTAAACATCATTTAATACATCAGTGTTAATATATACATATATGATATTAAAATAATTTTAAAAATTATCTAAATATGTTCCACGTAACACGTGGATTTTCACTAGTTACAAATAAAATATTGCAACCTAATTAGCATAATAAACTAAAAACGAGTTTGCTTTCTTGGCTATATGATCGGCATAATGATGGTTTGCCTTTCTACCCACAAATTTGTAAAATTTCGAGAATTTCATTTGTGAATCCATGAAGCCTAGGCCACTCTTGAGGATTAGCTACAGCTTGCATCAGTACGACAGTACCTTCGAATCACTCTTGAAGAGTACCTTTCACACTCAAAATTATCGAAACTTCAGAGCTAGGGCAGTTGCCTCCTCCACCTCAAGACTAGATCATAATCCCAAATACGCTTTAGAGCCATACAATTTCACACCCCCCTTTATCATCCCGCAATACCCATCCTATTTCACAAACCTCGTCAACATACTCGGCGTGGAGGATTCCAGTGGATATTGTGAGGTGCCTGACTAATGCTTTCACTCTCACTCTCACTCAATCTTGCATTTGACTATAATCTTCACAAGATTTGATTTGCATCAAGTTTTGATTCAAAGAAACAAAATGCATTTCCTCTACATAGAATGAACGACTTTTTTCAGTTTCATGTTTTGCATAAAAGATCTAATTGAGAGCTCTTTGTTTTCCGGATCATAATGTTTTGAAAAAGTCTCTACAGAGAAGAAAAGAACCAACCCATCATTTTATAGATTTGAAATCACAAAAACGGAATACTAAATAATAAAACTGTGAAAAGGCATGAGATCCTCCATCTTCGTAAGAAAGATATTAAGATAACGAGACAAACGTTAATGTCATATTACATAAGCAGCAAGATGAATAAAACAAAGGAAACATTGATAGTCTCTTAGTATCATACCAAAGCTAAATCGAAAAAAACCAGAAACAAGAGAGATCAAAGAGGAAAGTGGAGAAAATGTTTTGGAACTGTCAAGATATAGCAATGATAGAACAGCAAAGCCACAACCTAGGGACAATGCAACAGAAACAGTAGCTCAGAAACCATGGATCTTGATGTTATCCTTCTTCACAAGACCAGCCTGTTCCATGAAAAGTAGGGGAAATAAGATCAAGCAAAATTCTTTTTGTCAGCCTATTCGTGAAAGAGTCTGATTATTACCTGGACAAGGAACGTAGAGACGTTCTTCCTCTGGTCACCTTGAAGCTGAATAACCTACACAATTGCACAATACCATAAGTAATGGAGAATAGCTAGAGAGAGCACATATACAAAGGACAGGACTATCCTCGAAAATCCCTCGGCTAAGGGCTAAGCTTTGCAACTCAACTTTAACCCTTTGTTGCATTATTAGAATGGGAATATGCTTAATATAAAGACAGAGGTTAACCAACATGGATGCACCAATGGAGTTTCAAACACGCACCTGTCCCAGTTCAGGGTCTTGAACCACAGTTCCGTTGCAGCAGAATTCTTTCTTGAGGTCCTTAAGTATCTTGCTGTAGCTATACTCTTTCTTCAGCCCCTGGACCGTTGTCAAGCTTTTCCTACCATTCCGCTGCTGAACACGGATGTGAACGTACTCCTTTGTTCCTGCACCGGAGTCCTCAGCATTCGCATCAGCAAACGGATCTGCAGGCAAGAAAAAAAAAACACAGAAAGAAATTGATTAGCTCCTATCAATTCCCATATGAAGTAAATCAAACCACAACCTGAAGAGACCAATACTTTGAGATTGTTTTTACAAAAGCCAATGTTCCAAATATCAAAACTGTTACCAAACATCTGAATTAAGTCTAACCGGACTTATGAGACAGATATGCAAAAGGTATTTTGATGAATTTAAGTTTCAGGCGTTGGTATAATTGGAACTTACCAAAGGCAGTAGGGACCTGGGAATCAAGTTCAGACATGAAACTTTGTTGATCTGTGGGGCAAACGACAGAGAAGCTGAGACCTGAACAAGAAAGCCAACGTCACATAAGAATTTGCCAAACTCAGAATGATTAAAAAAACATATTGTAGACCATGAAACTATTAAAAACACAATCGATTTAAGCAAGAAAACTACTACTTAGGTCTTAGATAATGGTTAGGAAACACATAGAGAAATAGACAAACCAGCCACGCTCATCTAGAGATTTAGAATATATAAACAAGATTGGAAACTACAATCCCAACTAACAAACCATCTGCATCAATCCCAGGAATCTGGTCAAGCAGATCCAGTTCAATTACATGAAATGATGTAAAGAATCCCCCAAGTAAACTCTTTGACGTTTAATTTGACAGAAGATCAAAACAAGATCTACTTTTTCAAAGTCAGCAGCAAACTATACAAAAGGTCGCAAGCGATCTTCAGCGAATAGCCATACCAAAAACGAATTACCCAGTTGATCAACGAAGACGATGAATCACAGATACCAAAATTGTGGATCGGGAAACGAATCAAACTTCACCTCGAAATTACCGAAACCAAAGAAAGAGCAAGAGGCAATCTGCTAAAGAAAATGAAAAAAGGGGACAGAAGAAGGTGAATTTTACCTGATCCGATAGGTAGGGTTTCGAGGATCTGATTATCGTAGAAGAGAGAACGAAAAGAAACCCTAAATTCGGATAAAGTCTGCAACTTCTGTTTCGGTGGGGAGAAAGTAATAAAGGAGATGAGATATTTTGGTCCCCAAATATATATGGCTGTGTATTTCGGATCACCCACCGGGTCGGGTTAAAGTATTTAGGCCTTTGTATCACAAAAAACCATTTTTGTTATGTTCTAATTTTAATAATTACTCGAATTATTC